AGAGTAGGCATCAGATGAGCCCAATGGGTCAAGTGCACAAAACAGGCAGAGAAGGCAGCTCCACGTGCCTGAGCCTGGACGAAGGAGCCTCTCTCTGCTTGTACGAAGGGCCCACCAGCCAATGAAAAGACCAGAACGGCAAGGTGGGCGGGGCTGCGGAGTTTGCCCTGAGACACAGGGGGAGGCTGAGTGTGGGGGGTCTCAGGGGGCGGGGCCTCTGGGAACACACGCAAGCAGCAATCTCCCCCTCCCAACAAGAAAGAAAACCCCCCTCATATTTGTTTCAGAGTGGTAAAGGAAAGTCTGAAGGAAGAAGGTGTCTTGGAGAAAGTGAGGGGGTGTGAAAGGGAATTTCCTCCCTTCCCTCTAAGGAAGGAATATGGGGCACCTCAAAAACAACCACAGGATTTCCCCCCAACTCAGCAAAGTCACATGAAGGACTTGGTGCGCCTCGTGGCTTAGCAATGTGCACCCCCCTTTCCCCCCTTCAAAGCATTCCCACATCTACACTTTCCCCCCTGAATTAAATGGTATTTCAAAGGCAAAGTCCCCCCACTCAAGCATAAGATCTATACACACCTCATGGGATCCCCTTGCTTGGGCAGGGACCACCCCAAAGCAGATCAGGCAGGGAATTGTACAAAAAAAAGGGGGGAAACAATGCCTTCCGACCCACCAGAGTGGGAAGGAAGTCCCAAAGGGTGGCTGAGTATAAATAAATAGGGGGTCACAAAGCTCTCCAGATCCAACCCCACTCCATCATCTTGAGAGGAAAGTCTGGAAGGTGGCAAGTGGGGTCGTTGGGGGGTAATGGAGGTAATAAAGTCCCCCCAAACCCAACCTTTACCATTTAAAGCCCCTCATTTAGACTATGGTCATATTAGTGGGGTGGGGGTGTAAAGGAGGGGGTATAATAAAGCACCCCAAATACAACCCCAGCCATATAATCAATGATCATATCAATGGGATGGAGGTGTAAAGGGAGGGGGATAATAAAGCACCCTAAATCCAAGCCCAGCCATATAGAACCTATTTAATCTATGATCATATTAGTGGAGTGGGGGTGTAAAGGGGGGGGGGGGTAGCAGCAATGCACCCCATATCCAACCCCCAGCCATATAAAACCCATTTAATAAATGGTCATATTAGTGGGGTGAGGCGTAAAGGGGGGGATAATAAAGCACCCCGAATTTAACCTCAGCCATATAAAACCCATTTAATAAATGATCATATTAGTGGGGTGGGGCATAAAGGGGGGGATAATAAAGCACCCCGAATCCAACCTCAGACATATAAAACCCATTTAATCCATGATCATATTAGTGGGGTGGGGGCGTAAAGGGGGGATAGCAATGCACCCCATATCCAACCCCCAGCCATATAAAACCCATTTAATCCATGATCATATTACTGGGGTGGGGTGTAAAGGGGGGGGGAATAAAGCACCCCGAATCCAACCTCAGCCATATAAAACCCATTTAATCCATGATCATATTAGTGGGGTAGGGGTGTAAAAGGGGGGATAATAAAGCACCCCAAATCCAACCACGGCTATATAAAATCTATTTAATCCATGATCATATTAGTGGGGTGGGGGCATAAAGGAGGGGGATAATAAAGCACCCCAAATCCAACCCCGGCCATATAAAACCTATTTAATCCATGGTCAAATTAGTAGGGTATGAGCATAAAGGGGGGGGGGATAATAAAGCACCCCAAATCCAACCTCAGCCATATAAAACCTATTTAATCCATGGTCATATTAGTGGGGTAGGGGTGTAAAGGGGGGGATGATAAAGCCCCCCATATCCAACCCCAGCCAAATAAAACCTTCTATTTAATCCATGGTCATATTAGTGGGTTGGGTGGGTGTAAAGCAGGGGATAATAAAACCCCAAATTCAACCCATGCCATTGAAAACCCCTCATTTAGTCCATGATCATATAAATGGGTGGGGGTGTAAAGAGGGGGATAACAAAGCAGCCCAAATCCAATCCCAGTCATTGAAGACCCCAATCCCAATTTAGTTAATGATCCTATGAAACATATGAATGTCATTGGGGTGGTTGGATGTAAATGAGAGGTAATAAAGTCCCCCAAACCAACCCCCACTATTCAAAACACCCCATTTAGTCCATGACTCGGGATCTAGAGAAATGTTGGTGGAGTGTAAAGGGGGATAATAAAACCCCTGAAAGCCACCCCTTGCCATTTAAGACCCTCCTGTAGTCAGTCAATGCTCCTGAGACTCAGAAGATGGTCTGGAAGGTGGGCCGACCTTCTTAAATGGTGGGGATTGGCTTGGAGGGGGGAGATTGATTGTCCTCCTGTACACTCAGCCACCCCAACTAGCCTTCCTTTCATGATCAAAACAGGGTCTTAAATGGCGAGGGTCAAATTTGGGGGGCTTTAATACCCACTTTTGCATCCAACCACCCCTCCTCTATTTAGTCAATGATCCCAAGGCTCAGAGGAAGATCTGGAAGGTAGGCAGTGGGGTGTTGGATGTAAAAGGGGGTAATAAAGCCTCCCAAACTCAACCCTCATCATTTGAGACCCCCTTTTGTCCATGAGAAGAAGGCTAGTGGGGTGGGAGGGTATAAAGGCAAATAATAGAGCCCCCCAAAAGCCAACCTGCACTATTTAAAACCCTCCTCTATTTAGTCAATGATTCTGAGGCTCAGAGGAAGGTCTGAAAGGTGGGCAATGGGGTGTTTGGATGTAAAAGGAGGTAATAAAGCTCCCCAAACTCAACCCTCACCATGTAAGACCCCTTTTGATCATGAGAAGAATGTTAGTGGGGTGGTGGATCCAAAGGGGGATAATAAAGCACTTTGAAAGCCAACCTGCATTATTTAAGATGCTCCTCTATTTAGTCAATGATCCTGAGTCTCAGAGGAAGATCTCATGGGTACTTGGATGTAAAGGGGGGTGATAAAGGCAATGGGTACTTGGATGTAAAGGGGGGTGATAAAGCCCCCTTCCAGACCTTCCTCTGAGCATCAGGGCTATTGACGAGGAGGGTTGGTTGGATGTAAAAGGGGGTGATAAAGCCATTTAAGACCTCCTTTTGATCATGAGAAGGCTAGTGGGGTCAGTGGTTGTAAAGACCTCCTTAAGACCCCCTTTTGATCACGAGAGGAAGGCTCATGGGGTGGGTGGGTGTACAGGGGGATAACAGAGCCCCCCAAAAGCCAACCCGCACTATTTCAGACCCTCCTCTATTGAGTCAATGATCCTGAGGTTCAGAGGAAGGTCTGGAAGGTGGTCAATGAGGTGGTTGGATGTAAAAGGCGGTAATCAAGCCCCCCAAGCTCAACCCTCACCATTTAAGTCCCCCTTTTGATAATGAGAGGAGTGTTTGTGATAATAGAGCTCCCCAAAAGCCAGCCATCCCCCCCCTATTAAAAACCCTCCTCTATTTAGTCAATGATCCTGAGACTTTGAGAAAGGTCTGAAAGGTGGGCAATGGGGTGGTTGGATGCAAAGGGGGGGGGGGTAATATAGCTTCCCAAACTCAACCCTTGCCATTTAAGACCCCCCTTTGATCAGGAGAGGAATGTTAGCAGGATGAGTGGGTGTAAGGGGGAGGAATGTTAGTGGGGTGGGTGGGCGTACAGAGCCCCCCAAAAGCCAACCCACACTATTTCAGACCCTCCTCTATTTAGTCAATGATCCTGAGGCTCAGAAGGAGGTCTGGAAGGTGGGCAATGGGGTGGTTGGGTGCAAAAGGCAGTGATAAAGCCCTCCAAGCTCAACCCTCACCATTTAAGACCCCCCTTTGGTACTGAGAGGACTGTTAGAGATAATAGAGCCCCCCAAAAGCCAACCCCCACTATTAAAAACCCTCCTCTATTTAGTCAATGATCCTGAGACTTTGAGGAAGGTCTGAAAGGTGGGCAATGGGGTGGTTGGATGCAAAGGGGGGTAATAACCCCCCCCCAAAAAAATCCAACCCTCACCATTTAAAACCCCTCTTCAATCATGAGAGGAAAGCTAGTGGAATGGGTGGGTGTACAGGGGGATAATAAAGCCCCTCCAAAAGTCTGCCTGCACTATTTTAAACCTTCCTTAGTCAATGATCCTGAGGTTCAGAGAAAGGTCTGAAAGGTGGGCAATGGGGTGGTTGGGTGCAAAGGGGGGGGGGATAAAGCTCCCCAAACTCAACCCTTGCCATTTAAGACCCCCTTTTCATCATGCGAGGAATGTTAGTGGGGTGGGTGGGTGTACAGGGAAATAATAGAGCCCCCCCAAAAGCCAACCCGCACTATTTAAGACCCTCCTCTATTTAGTCAATGATCCTGAGGCTCAGAGGAAGGTCTGAAAGGTGGGCAATGGGGTGGTTGGGTGCAAAAGGGGGTAATAGAGCCCCTCAAACTCAACCTTTGCCATTTAAGACCCCCCTCCCCTTTTATCATGAGAGGAATATTAGTGGGTGGGTGTACAGGGGGATAATAGAGCCCCCCCCCCAAAAAATCCCATCCCCCACTATTTAAAACCCTCCTCTATTTAGTCTATGATCCTGAGGCTTTGAGGAAGGTCGGAATGGTGGGCAATGGGGTGGTTGTATGCAAAAGGGGGTAATAAAGCCCCCCCCCCCGCAACTCAACCCTCGCCATTTAAGACCCCTCTTTGAGAGGAACGTTAACAGGGTGAGTGGGTGTACAGGGAGATAATAGAGCCCCCCAAAAGCCAACCCACACTATTTAAGACCCTCCTCTATTTAGTCCATGATCCTGGGGCTCAGAGGGAGGTCTGAAAGGTGGGCAATGGGGTGGTTGGGTGCAAAAGGGGGGTAATAAAACCCCTCAAATTCAACCTTCGCCATTGAAGACCCCCTTTTGATCATGAGAGGAATGTTAGTGGGAGGGTGGGTGTAAAGGGGGACCATAGAGCCCTCCCGGAGCCAAGCCCGGCCACTCACTAGCCCTCCTCCCCATTGAAACCAAAGAGTCTATCAACCTGGATGAGCACATGGCACTTCAGGGCCGAGGAAGTACCTGGCGTGCGCTTCTGCTGGTGTTGGTGCGGGTGCTCCTCTCGGAGGGGTGCCTCAGTCTTCAGAGCCAAACGGGGGTCTTTGGAGAGAGCAATAAAAGGGACCCCCCCCTTCTCCTATACTATTAAAAGAGGAATAAGCAGGGGGGTGGGAGGAAGGAAGGAAGGAGGGATGGAAGGAAGGAAAGGACAGCTTGCTTCCTCTCTCTCTCTGGGAAGTCCTAAGATCTGGCTGCCCATCCAATGCAGATGGGTCAAGGGGAGGAGGAGGAGGAGGAGGAGGGAGGTTCACATGGTGCTGCTCCGGTTTGGGGCTCCCCGCAGACCCGGCCTGGGCCACACAGGTAGCCGCCAGCACCGGAGCGCCTCCTCCTCCTCAACCCGCATCTTCCTGGCAAACTCGGGAAGAGCAAAACGGCACCTTCTCCTTCTTCCTCCTTCTCCTTCTCTTCTTCATGCAAGGAGAGGATCTCGCAAACCTCCCTCCTCCTCCTCTTCCTCCTCCCTTAGAGGAAAAAAAAAAAGGGGGGGGGGTTGTAATAACTCTGATCAAAGCCTTCACAAACTCTACCCACGGACACTCTTCCTGCCTGTGAAAAAAGTTCCCGTTCCTCTCTCTCTCTCTCTCTCTCTTTCTGTGGCTCAGTCTGGGAGCAGAAGAGTTTTCTTTTCTTTTTCTCTCCCCCCTCTCCAAACTCGCCTCCACTCTCCCTCTCTCTCTTTTCCTCTCTCTCTTCCCTTTCTCCCCTTCTCCCCCTCGGTTTCCCACGCTGGCTGAATGTGACTTGACCCCGTTTCAAAAAAGTTTGACATAGTGCTTCAACATTTCCGCATTCCTCCCCGACTACAAAGGCAGCGGCCGCCTCCTTCTGCTTTCTGTCTCTGCTCTCTGTCTTCGCACTCAATGAAATCCTTCATGGGCCAAAAAAAAAGGCAGGGGGGGGGGCAGACCACCCCTCCCCTCTCCTCAAATACCGCCGGCAAAGAGGCAGGAGAGAGAGAGAGGGGCGATGGGGGGGGGTGATTATGGGGGGGAGAGGGGAGACCCCAAGCTGGGAGGAGGAAGAGGAAGGAGGAGAGCACAGCTTCTGGAGCTGCTGCTGCTGCTGCTGCTGCTGCTGCCTCGTGGGCTTGTTTCCCAGGGTGTGCAAAAGTCCACATTTGTTACACAAGAGCAGGCCCGGGCCAACTTGGGCCCTCCAGTGTTTGGGACTCCAACTCCCCCATTCAGACTGTGAGGAATGGTGGGAGTTGGAGCCCCAAACACCTGGAGGGCCCAAGTTGGCCCAGGCGTGGTGTAGATGCACCCTACGCAATGCAACCCTGGGAGCTGCAGTTTGGTGAGGCACCAACACTCTTTGGCACAGAAGGCTGAAGCCCTTGTAAAACTACAAGGCTTAGAGGGAAATGGAAGGGGCCTGAGTCTGTGAGGGATAGTGGGAGTTGGAGCCCCAAACACCTGGAGGGCCCAAGTTGGCCCAGGCGTGGTGTAGATGCACCCTACGCAATGCAACCCTGGGAGCTGCAGTTTGGTGAGGCACCAAATGTGAGTAGATCAATAGGTACAGAACGCTGGCATAGAAGGCTGAAGCCCTTGTAAAACTAAAAGGCTTAGAGGGAAAGGAAGGGGCCTGAGGCTATGAGGAATGGTGGGAGTTGGARTCCAAACACCTGGAGGGCCCAAGTTGGCCCAGGCCTGGTGTAGATGCACCCTACGCAATGCAACCCTGGGAGCTGCATTTTGGTGAGGCATCAACACTCTTTGGCACAGAATGCTGAAGCCCTTGYAAAACTACAAGGCTCAGGGGAAAAAGGAAGKGACCTGAGGCTATGARGAATGGTGGGAGTTGGAGTCCAAACACCTGGAGGGCCCAAGTTGGCCCAGGCCTGGTGTAGATGCACCCTAYGCAATGCAACCCTGGGAGCTGCAGTTTGGTGAGGCACCAACACTCTTTGGCACAGAAGGCTGAAGCCCTTTTAAAACTACAAGGCTTAGAGGGAAAGGAAGGGGCCTGAGGCTATGAGGAATGGTGGGAGTTGGAGTCCAAACACCTGGAGGGCCCAAGTTGGCCCAGGCCTGGTGTAGATGCACCCTATGCAATGCAACCCTGGGAGCTGCAGTTTGGTGAGGCACCAACACTCTTTGGCACAGAAGGCTGAAGCCCTTGTAAAACTACAAGGCTTAGAGGGAAAGGAAGGGGCCTGAGGCTGTGAGGAATGGTGGGAGTTGGAGTCCAAAACACCTGGAGAGCCCATTGGCCCCGGCCTTTTCCAGAGGGACTCTTCTTGTTATTATTATTCTTTTTTGGATGTTTGGACATACAGTATATATAAAGAACAAAAGTAATTTAAAGTAGGTAAAAGGTAAAAGTTTTCCTCTGACATTAAGTCCAATCATGTTCGACTCTGGGGGTTGGTGCTCATCTCCATTTCTAAGCCAAAGAGCCAGCATTGTCCATAGACACCTCCAAGGTCATGTAGCTGGCATGACTGCATGGAGCGCTGTTATCTTCCTGCCGGAGTGGTACCTATTGATCTACTCACATTTGCATGTTTTTGAACTTCTAGGTTGGCAGAGTCTGGGGCTAGCAACAGGAGAATTGGCTGACTGCAAGGACATTGCCCAGGGGACACCCCGGATGTTTTACCAGCTGACATACAAATCTCATCCGCACTCTTCCCAGATTCAAACCTCCAACCTGTAGGTCTTAAGTCCTGCCGGCACAGGAGTTTAACCCAATGTGCCACCGGACCAAGGAGCAGTAATTTATTATATACACAGGATCAAGGAGCCACGGTGGAACAGTGGGTTAAACCACTGAGCTGCTCAACTTGCAGGTCACAGGATTGAATCCAGGGAGCGGCGTGAGCTCCCGCAGTTAGCTTCAACTTCTGCCAACCTAGCAGTTTGAAAACATGCAAATGTAAGTAGATCAATAGGTCCTGCTCTGGTGGAAAGGTAACAATGCTCCATGCAGTCATGCCGGCCACATGAGCTTGGAGGTGTTTACGGACAACGCCAGCTCTTCAGCTTAGAGATGGAAATGAGCACCAACCCATAGAGTCAGATACGACAAGCCTTAGTGTCAGGGGAAAACCTTTACCTAACCTAAACAGGGACCAATGCAAGATACTCCACCAATTCGGCAGAAAAAAGGCGAAGATACAGAATGAGGGACATCCGGCTCAACAGCAGTAGGTGTGAAAAAGATCTTGGAGTCGTCCTGGACAACAAGTTACACATGAGGCAACAATGTCATGGAGCATCTTAAAATCCAATGGGATTTTGGCCTGCATCAATAGGAGTATTATGTGTAGATCAGTGGTTGTCAACCTTCCTAATGCCGCAACCCATTAATACAGTTCCTCATGTTGTGGTGACCACCAACCATAAAATTATTTTCGTTGCTACTTCATAACTGTAATTTTGCTACTGTTGCAAATCGTCATGTAAATATCTGATATGCAGGATGTATTTTCATTCACTGGACCAAACTGGGCACCAATACCCGATAAACTCAAATTTGAATCCTGGTGGGGGTGAGCGGGGGCATTGATTTTGTCATTTGGGAGTTGTAGTTGCTGGGATGTGCAGTTCACCTACAATCAAAGAGCATTCTAAAGTCCAGCAACAATGGAATTGAACCAAACTTGACACACAGAACTCCCATGACCAACAGAAAGGGGTTTGGTGGGCATTGACCTTGAGTTCTGGAATGAGAGAGTGGAATATAAATAAAGTGTTGTTGTTGTTGTTGTTGTTGTTGCTCTCCTCACATATTTTCTATTCCTACCTCACTCAGGGTTTTATCATTTTGTCTCGTCCATTTGGCCTGCCCATCCTGTTTGATTTTATATTGTGTTAATTTGCTTTATTTATTTTATTTTGCTACTTAACTATTTTCTGATGTAATTTTTTGTTCTCTGCATTCTGTGTTTTATTGTGGACTCAAACAATGATGGATCTGGACCAAACTTGGCATGAAGACTCGATGTGCCGAAATGTGAACATTGGTGGAGTTTGGGTTAAATAGACCTTGATATTTGGGAGTTGTCGTTACTGGGATTTATAGTTCACCTACAATCAAAGAGCATTCTGAACCCCACTTGACCCTCAGGTTGAGAAATGCTGCCTTAAGGCCAGCCAATCCAACACCCTTCACTAGGGCAAGAAAACGTAACCAAAGCTCTCCTGACAAAGAGCCATCCAGCCATAGATATAGATAGATATATATGATTCACACACACACACACACATATATGTATATGACAGATATAGTATCATAGATTTGAAAGTGACCCCTAAAGAAGGACAATTATATTTTGCATGTTCCAAAGTAGGCAAATCAGACTATCTCTACATCAACACTGACAAAGAAACGACAAGAAATACTGTTTACACACAAGCATAAAGAAATTATATATATTAGAAACCAATACTTTCTCATTACTTTATTTTCCAGATCACCAGACTGGGCCACAGCAACGCCTGGTAGGGGACGGCTAGTAAATAAACATACATGTAAACATGTACAGTGCCCCCACTGTAAACTGTCCTACTAATGTACTTGTAAGTGAAATCAGAATGCAAAGGGCAGGCAGCAGTGCTCTCGGAAGTCCCCATGACTTAAATCCTGTTTAATAATAGCAGTTAAGAATCTTTTGGCCAACCTGCCAAACAAAAAGAGGTTCATTGTGAGCACAGGAAGGTGTGTTTTCCACATGTAAACCATTCCATCTGCATTCCTGTGACTATAGCTTCATCTTTCATCTCTGTGGCAATATACCTCTAACTCCATTAACGTCAGTCAACTTTCCCTTGGATGAAGATAACATATGCCTTGAGGATTTAGTATATATTAACCCATACTATTTTTTAAAGTAAATGTTATTTATATTCAAAAAGGAATTTCACTTACATACAATAATGTTCCAATGTAACAAAAACAGGAAAATAAAAACAGATAAGGAGGAAAATTAGCCGCATTGGCCACAAGTTTCTTTAAAACTGATCAAATGTCCATACATAAGTCATATTGTAATTTTTGTCTGTACAACATTATTTCAAATTTTGCAAGTGTTTTTAGAGCTGCTATCTATCAAATCACATTGGAAAAAGAAAAAATCTTCAGGTAGCAACATACTCATTTTTTAGCAGTCAAAGGGACACACAATACCTATTTCCACCGGCTATTTGTTATTTTCAAAGGAATAGGTAAATTATAAAAAAGAGTATAAAAGCGATGAATATCAAAAAACTTTTCAAAACTAAATGTACTTTAATGATCACGTTCTCCCAAAATGTAGCAACTATTGGCCAACTTCAAAACATATGCATTAAGGAAGCATTATTACAATTAAAATAGTTTTCTGATTTTTGAAAAGAGATTCTAACTGCACAAAAGACCAATTTTGCTGTATAAAACATTATTGGAGGTCTATAGCTATACTAGTTATAGATGCTAAAATTGATGGCCATTGATTAGTCAAAACAGAATATTTTTATTCTCTATTCCATCTTTGCTATAAATTTACATGTCAATTTATTTATTGATTGATAAGATATCCCCTCTGGGCAGCTAAACCAGGAAATCCCAAATGGATGACCCCCCCCCCCCAATGAGGGTATTTGGGCAAACCAAGAATGGGGTACTTGGAAGTCCTTCAACAGAATTGGAAGCAGAGTAGGCAGATCAAAAGACAACCTGGCAAAATGGCACTACCAATCCTCCACCTTGTTAGACTGTGGGGCAGAATAAACAACTCAGCATCTGTATGCTTGCCCACAATACCCTGCCTCATTCGCAGAGGAAGAATTGTTTAAAGCTACAGACAATGCAGTCGCTGTTGCCCGT